TGATGCTAATTTAATGCTCTGTACTGCCAGATTAGAGATTGGTGATGCTCATTTGATGCTCTGTACTGCCAGATTTGAGTTTGGTGATGCTCATTTGATGCACTGTACTGCTAGATTAGAGATTAGTGATGCTAATTTAATGCTCTGTACTGCCAGATTAAAGATTGGTGATGCTAATTTAATGCTCTGTACTGCCAGATTTGAGTTTGGTGATGCTCATTTGATGCACTGTACTGCTAGATTAGAGATTAGTGATGCTAATTTAATGCTCTGTACTGCCAGATTAAAGATTGGTGATGCTAATTTAATGCTCTGTACTGCCAGATTAGAGATTGGTGATGTTCATTTGATGTGTAACACACCGTTCACAAAGCCTCACAGATCATTAATTCAGTGGGACAAATGTGTACGGGAAAGATAAATTTTAGAGGCTCGGCACAGGAAAGATACATGTGGTTCATTGATATAGTCACCAAGACCGGAAGCAGGGGCCACAAAACCAGGCGGCACACACAGGCACTTTAACTCCACAATCTTTAATGTAATCTACTTCAGTAAAATAAACAAAGGTACAATAATTAGCATATGCATATAAATATGTGAGATAGGATATCCTGAAAATATATCAAAGAAAGAGAGAAAACCTAACCTTAGCTAATTAGAGTTTGGGTTTAAATGTGCTAATCAGTACCCCAATGAATAATAAAATCAGCTAATTTGTCCCTAAACAAAGCCAATGTTATCAACAATAAATGAACAATAATCATCAATCCATCAAAAACACGGGTGTGAATAAATAACAAACGCATGAATACATCAACAGTTAAGCATCGATGTTCACATCAGGTCACAGTTCACTCACAGTCAGCTTCTGTGTGCAGTTCCTGAGGCTTGACAAAATACACCGTTGGGTGCGCTACACGACGAAATCGGGCGTGGCCTGGGTGTGTCCGGTAATTACCCAGGTACATCGTTGAGGACGCTGTTTAACAACAATGTTATCAAAAGTTCATTCATAGAAATTCTGAACAATAGTCATAATCAATCGTCATAATTCAGAAATAGTTCTCTGTACAGTGGGACACAACTTGACTACCAATCCCAACTCACAGTACAAGTGTTATTCAGCAGACAGTTTGTTGCTGTCTATCGCACACATTCGATCAGGTCCAAAAAAAACTGTGAGCACTGTGATTGTGTAATGGTAACACAAAAGACTATGGTAGACTGTAATACGTCGTTTATTTCGGAAGACAAGTCTGGCATCAAAGTACAATTAGAACAATCCACACTAAACATGCACTAAAACACCCTTTATATAGGGTTAATAGAATTACACGCGGATTTTAAAATTGGAGGAAAAACGCTATGATTGGTGTGCTCATGTGAGAAGGTCACTATAGAATAAACATTTCGGCTTAATCCGCTACAAAGTTGCGACTTCTCTTGCGTTCGCTGTGATAAAGGCATGTTTGTGAACATTACGTAAATGGCTTACAATAAATTGATTTGTGCTTCTTTGTCATAGGAATACATGTATTGTGAGGTGAAATGAAGCATGAAACGGCTTCTAACAGACATAACTCAGAGAATAATGCTTGGAATCGAATGAAACGAAAACGAACAAATACAGAAAATGGTTGTCTATCGATACAAAGTAAATACGAATGAAAAATAATAACTATAATTAAACAACAACCAAATATAATTGAATCGAGAAACACACACGTGGATAAGCATCCACGATAGAAGTAAGGCAAAATGCACCACTGTATCTATAGGCTGAAAATATAACAGTGACATTCAATTTCCGGAACGTTTCGTGTCAGATGTAGAGCGGCAAAACTTACAGCGGTTCTGAGAATTATTCGACAGTCAGTTAGCAAGATGGTTGGAAACGTGACGTTTGCTTCGTTCAAGACTAGAAATATATTTCTTCATTTGTCATGCCGACGACGAGTTTGGTACCATACAATCGTCGATATTTATCCAACTTCCCGCAATATGAAAGATGTTTTCCCGCCTACTCAATTAATTATGTTTTCCCGTAATTAATTACGGCGCTCTAATTATTTTTGTTCTACGCTATAGATAAAGAACCACTACTCGAAATAACTATTTTGAATAGTTACTTGGGACAATGATTACCAAATGTTATCTACTATATGTCAATAATGTGTTGGCTCTATATATTATGATATTATGACGTCTTGAAATGCACGTGAACTCCGAGATCTACCATGATGGTCATCAATTTGGTTGGAATGTGGCCTTAATTGAACAAAATGAAATGTTGAACGCCCTCATTAATTACGCAGGAATTGTTCTACATAATATATAATATGTACCTGATTAGGTTTGATCGCTTGATCGATTGATTGTTTGAATGATTGATAAAGTATGAAACTCGAAAACAACAAAAACAAACAACGAGATCTTATATTAAAGCAAGGGAGTCGTCACCTGCACATGCGTCAGATGGTCATGGCGTGTCATAGTTTACAAACAAGCGTCTACCCTTTGCCTTTTCAGCGTGTGGTGTTTTCGTCGCTTGGAACTCAATCCCCGCGCGTGAAATTGACACTATTCTATTGTTAGACAATATACACAGAAAAAAAAGTAAAAAGGCTTACTGGTTACAGAAACATGATAATTGGTTAGATTTTATCTTGTAATTCTTTTGTATGTAATTTCAATAAAACTGTATGGCGGCGCTAGCTTATTTAAACATTTGCACACCATAAATATTCCATCAGTTAATGACATTATATACATCGCTTTAAATAACTCCTCAGTGGATGCTCGTTTTTTTTTTAAGTTTATATATACAGCTTTTT